AGGCAGGAAAGTCCATAAGACTCTTATCTCCAGTAAACCACTCAGAAAACCAGAAGTGGCACAGTGGCTCAAGTGGTAGAGTGCTAGCCTTGAGCTGAAGAGCTCAGGGACAGCGTTCAGGCCCAGAGTTCAAGCCCCATGACCAACAAAAAAAAAAAAGCATCAGGTATCAAGTTAGAGTCCCATTCTCAGACCAGTTTTTTAAAAGGCCAAAAGTTTGTTGCTGGGAATGTGGCTTAGTGGTAGAGTGCTTGCCTAGCATGCACGAAATCCTGGGTTTGATGCCTCATACCACATACACAGAAAAGGCCAGAAGTGGTGCTGTGGCTCAAGAAGTAGAACACTAGCCTTGAGCAAAAGCAGCTCAGGGACAGTGCCCAGGCCCTGAGTTCAAGCCCCAGGACTGGCAAAAATAAAAAAGTTTGCTGTGTTCTACTTTTGCAGTTCAGCATTGTTGCCAGGCATTTAAAGCTACTTGCCCTACCCTTGCATTAAATGGCAGCAGTTTGTTATCTGTTTTTAATTTTGGGGTTTTGTTTGTTTGTTTGTTTTGGGTTTTTTTGGGGGGGGGGTTGGCCCATTGTGAGGCTTGAACTCTGGGCCTGAGTATTGTCCCTCAGCTCTTCAGCTCAAGGCAACGTTCTACCACTTGAGCCACAGCACTACTTCTGGTTTCCTGGTAGTTAATTGGAGATAAGAGTCTCATGGACTTTCCTGCCTGAGCTGGCTTTGAACTGGGATCCTCAGATCTCAGCCTCCTGAGTAGCTAGAATTACAGGCATGAGCCACTAGCACCCGGCTGGTTTTTTGTTGTTTTGTTTTGTTTTTTTTGCCGGTCATGGGGCCTGAACTCTGGGCCTGGGCACTGTCCCTCTGCTCTTCAGCTCAAGGCTAACGCTCTACCATTTGAGCCACAGGACACTTCTGGCTTTTTCTGCTTATGTGGTGCTGAGAAATCAAACCCATGGCCTCATGCATGCAAGGCAAGCACTCTACCACTAAGCCACATTTCCAGCCCCTTGTTTATTTTTTATTTATTTTTGTTAGCTATGGGGCTTGAACTCGGGGTCCTTAAGCTCTTTTTGCTCAAGGCTAGCACTCTACCACTTTGAACCGTAGCACTGTTTCTGGTTTTCTGGTGGTTTATTGGAGATAAGAGTCTCATGAACTTTATTTCCTGGGTTGGCTTTGAACCACAATCCTCAGATCTCAGTCTCCTGAGTTGCTAGGATTGCAGGTGTGAGCCACTAGCCCCAGCTAATTTTCTTGTTTTTGAAACAGGGTCTCACTATATAGCCCAGTCTGGCCTCAAATCCATAATCCTTCTGCCTCTGCCTCCCAACTGTGTCACCACCCTAGCCTCTATTTTCAATTCTTACATTTACATTTTATAGCTTTTTCTGTTTGCACACTGACCAGACAAATACTTGTCTTCACTTTGCTTATCTTTAGCAGCTCCTCTTTCCATTCAGATTCATAATCTATGAGGTTGGAAACCAGATCATAAAGATTGTCAGAACTGTGTTTGTACAAAGAAACAAATCAGGGTCTGTTTGTGAATAAAGCACATTAATATAATTGGGTTAGCTTTATGTAGGCAAAGCTGGTGAATAAATGTGTTAGTTGGCATTTTTCTATAGGCTGTTATTTCAATTGCTCCTAAAGTAGATATTGTTTCTTTTTCTTTCTTCTATAGGAGCTTCCATGTACCAGTCTCAAAAGTGAAGGTATGACAAGAAAAGGGGGTATGGGGTAAATCTCCTAGCATGAAAATGATGTTCTACATATTAATAGATAATTGAGTTGCATTTTGGTTGAAATTCAGTTAAGATAAATTTATATTTTGTGCCTTAGATTGTACTACTTTTTATCAGGGAGAAAAATCATTGAATTCTAGTTCAACTGCTGAAAAATACACTGAAGTCTTTTGCTAAACTTGCTTTAAAAATGCAAAATTTGCTTTACTAAATTAAGCCAAGCATACTCATGTCAGTGGCTTATTTACTTCTTGGTAGGGTGGGTAGAAGAATGGATAAATACATGGGAAAAGTAATTATGTTAATGATAGAATCTGGGTAGAATCTGGACATTCACTGTAAAGTTGTCTCAACTTTTTTATATATTTGAAATTTTTATAGTAAAATGTTGGGGAACAAATAGTACCTGTTACCTTTTTACATGCCAGCTCTGATACTTGGCCCTCTTCAGGCTTGTTTCAACTGCTAGATATCAAGAGCTGAATTCAGATATAGACACAACCAGCAGCCTTTTTAGCCTTGAGGCCTGGAACATTGTTTCTTCTCTAGCTAGTCCTGATGGTGATTTCTATTATATCCTGGTGCTATCCTTATCTTGATAACCATCACATATGGTCTTGTTTAAAAGTCACCTTAAAGCCTTTTTGGAAAGGTTTTAGAAGGCAGCATGTACAAAATAGCTTTTATTAGAATCAGGAAGAAAGAGGCATTGGTGAGAGAGATTCTGAATCTTTTCATTTTTGTTTATTTTTGAGACAGAATCTTGCAGTATAGACCAGGCTGGCCTGGACAACTCATGATTCTCCTGCCTCAGCCTCCCGAGTGCTGGGATTACAGGTGTGTACCACCACATCTGGTTTTCATTTATTTTCTTTCTTTTTTTTTTTTTTTATGCTGGTACTAGGGCTTGAACTCAGGGCCTGTGCTGTTGCTTATCTTTTTCATGTAAAACTGGTTTTCTATCATTTGAGGAACTCCTGTAGTTCCTGTTGTTTGCTGGTTAACTGGAGATAAAAGTCTCACAGATTTGTCTGCTGGGCTCGCTTTGAACAGAGGTCCTCAGTTCTCAGCCTCCTAAGGAACTAGGATTACAGGCGTGAGCCACAGGCACCTAGCTAATTCCCTTTTTATGGCTGAATATTTCATTTTATCTAGGTACCACATTTCACTTGTCTATTCATTTAGTTGGTGGGTATTTGGGTTGTTTCTACCTTTTGATTATAATAAATAATCCTGCTTGAAATTTTATACACAAGTTTTTATTTGAAAACATTTTCATTTCTTTGGGTACATAGCTACAAATAGAATTGCTAGATTCTGTGATTTGTTTTTCTTTTTTTCTTTTCTTTTTTCCACTAACACCTAGTGTTCTACTACCTTGATCCATACTTCCACTTTCAGCTTCTTCCTGGTTAATTGGAGATGTGTCTCAAATTTTGTCTGCCTAGGCTGGTTTTAAGCCACAATCATCCAAATCTCAGCCTCCTGAGTGGCTAAGATTATAAGTGTAAGCTACCATGGTGGCACAGCCCTATGCTATTTCTTAATGTCTTGTTTTGTTTTACCTCTGAACAATGTAAACCATGCTCTTCCACTGAGCTACATTCCCATCCCTGTATTAATTTTCTGAAGAACTGCCATACTGTTTTCCATTTTACATTCCCATCAGAAATGTATAAAGGTTTTCATTTCTCCACATCCTTACCAAATTTATTTTCTGGGTTTAAAAAAAATCAAGCCTTCCTAAGTGAGTGTAAAATAAGGTTTGGCTTTGCAGTTCCCTAATGACTAATGAGGCCGAACTTTTTTTTTTTTTTAACCACCAGTCCTGGGGCTTGAACTCTGGACTTGGGCACTGTACCTGGGCTCCTTTTGCTCAAGGCTAGCACTCTACCACTTGAACCATAGCACCACTTCTTACTTTTTCTGTAATTAATGGACTTTACTGTCTAGGCTGGCTCCAAACCTCCATCCTCAGATCTGAGCCTCCTAAGTAGCTAGGATTACAGGCATAAGCCACCAGTGCCCAGCTGACCTTTTTTTAAAATGCCAGTCCCAGGGCTCTGTCCCTGAGGTTTTGTGCTCAAGGCTAGTGCTCTACTACTTGAGCCACAGCTCCACTTCTAGCTTTTTGGAAGATAAGAGTCTCACAGTTTTCCTGCCCAGGATGGCTTCAAACTATGATCCTCAGATCTCAGCTTCCTGAGTAGCTAGGATTACAGGCATGAGCCACTTGCACCCAGCCTTATCTAGGTACCACATTTCACTTGTCTATTCATTTAGTTGGTGGGTATTTGGATTGTTTCTACCTTTTGATTATAGTGAATAATCCTGCACATTTTTTCATGTTCTTGATGGCCATGTGTATATCATCTTTGGAAAAAGATCTCTCCAAGTCCTTTGTACAATTTTTAATTGAGTGTGTTGGTCCTTTGTGATAGTATTCTTTATCTTAGATCCTAAACCCTTATGAGATATGAGATTTATAAATATTCTATTATGTGGGTTGTCATTTCACTTGCTTTATGGTATCCTTTGATACACAAAAGCTTTTAATTTTATGCAATTAAATTTATACATTTTTTCCCTTGTGTTGCCTTTGATGTATTAGCCAATTTTCTCCTGCGGATTAAACCCAGGACCTCACATATTGGTAGGCAACTGCTCTACTAATCTTAATCTCTAGGTCCTTCTGCCTCCCAGTTTAAAATATGTGAAAGATTCCTTAAAATGGAATTTCCACTTAAATTATTTTTCAGGGAGGAAGATGTTATTTGTTTGTCCTGAGGATCAAACTTAAGACCAGTCAGGGACTCTACCACTGAGGTACAGTCCCAGCCCCCACTTAAGTTTTTGGTAGGTCCATATGTACTTTAAAAGTATATGCAAACATATACATATATTAAATATGAGTGTACCTTTTTCTCTATATCCTCATCCATAGCTTACAGTAGTCAGTCTTGATTTTTTTCTAATTTTTTGTCGACATGACAAGTGAAAACTTTTAATTTTTTTATTTTTGCTAGTCCTGGGGCTTGAACTCAGGGCCTGGGCACTGTTCCTGAGCTTCTTTTGCTTAACTCTTAACACTTTACCATTTGAGCCACAGCACCACTTCTGGCTTTTTCTGTTTATGTGGTACTGAAGACTCAAACCTAGGACTTCATGAATGCTAGGCAAGCACTCTACCACTAAGCCACATTCCCATCCCAAAACTTTATAATCTTGGTGTGTTTTTTTTTAATGTGGTACTGGGGACTGAACTCAGAGCCTTGTGCTTGTTCTACCATTGACCTAAAAAATGTTTTGGTCTGAGACTGGGACTCAAACTTGATACCTGATGCTTTTGTTCATTGGCCAGCATCCTACCAAACTGAGCCCATGCCTCCCACCCCAATAATGTTTTAATATGCATTTTCATCTTTTTGTATTTACGTTATTTTATTTTTTCAGCCTGTAGTCATTCATGTGTATTGAATGAATGTTTACATCCTCTACATGTTTGTTTTCTTTTTTTTTTTAATTGGCCACAGCAGATGCTACATTTATGTGTGACAAGCGGTGTAACAAGAAGCGGTTATGTGGACGGCATAAATGTAATGAGATATGCTGTGTGGTAAGTGGACTTACCATTATATAATCTGTATCAGATTCCATTCATCCAAAAGACTTGACCATCTGAAGTGTGGCCCAGATACAGAACTCAGTGGAAGGAGCCGCTATTTAACAGTCTGAGTGACCTCATTGTTCTCAGCAGAGAGACTTGAGTCTTTTTTTGTTGTTGTTGAGACTGAGTCTTTTTAAACCTCAGCCAAGTCAGGAAGTCAGACAGTGGCATCTAGGGGCAGTATGGAAGAAGAGAAAGAGGAAAAACAGCAGCCTGCATACCCCAAGGCCCAAGGATTCTATATGAACACACCATCCTCTGTAAGAAGGTATTTGTTAACAAATACCTGGACTTAGCAACTTGAGCTTTGGGCTTCATATACTTGGTGGAGAAAATTACTGTGGCATTTTCTTTTTTTTTTTTTTTTTACTGTGGCATTTTCTAAAGGGACAAGTTTCATTTATTTGAGATACTTACTTCTATGAAACTACTATCAAGAAGCACATCCTGACTGTTGATACTGTTTTCTTGTGTTTCTTATACATACACCTATATAAAAATTATATATATATGTATATGTGTATATATGATAGGATAACACATGTCTATATACATAACCATATATGCATATACATGTATATGTACAAACAAGATAAGATAGCACAGTATCCATACTTAGGTAATGCATATGTATATATGTATGTATACATACATGATCATTATATATACATGATCTTTTTTTTTTAGTGTTTACATTGACAAAGTGAAGAGTGGTGAAATTATGCTATATGCTGAGACTGATAAATGAGTATTTGAAGGTCTAAAGACTTTTACCAGTTTCAAACATATACAAAAAGAGACCAATGTAGTAAATCACATCTACACAACATTTAGCTCCAGCAGTGATCAACTCATGCTTATCTTTTCTCTTCTGTATCCCTACCTTTTCCCTCTTCCTTTTTTTTTGTTTGTTGTTTTTTATTTTTTGTTTTTACCAGTCCTTGGGCTTGAACTCAGGGCTTGGGCACTGTCCTTGAGCTTCTTTTGCTCAAGGCTAACCCTCTACCACTTGAGCCACAGTGCCACTTCTGGCTTTTTCTGTGTATGTGGTACTGAGGAATCAAACCCAGGGTTTCATGCATGCTAGGCAAGCACTCTACCACATTCCCAGCCCCCTTCCTGTTATTTTAAAGCTGTTCTCCAATATCATTCCATCCATAAATGTGTTGAACTTTGTTTTTTGTAGCCTGTCTTTATGGAGAACATTTATGTATATGTATATATATGCACATATATATATTATTTATGAATAAACAGAAATTTCTTCTTTTAGGATAAGGAGCACAAATGTCCTTTGATTTGTGGGAGGAAACTCCGTTGTGGCCTTCATAGATGTGAAGAACCTTGTCATCGAGGGAATTGCCAGACATGTTGGCAAGCCAGTGAGTGTCATCGCTCTCTATAACTCTTTCTTCTTTTTTTGTTTTCTTCCTACTAGGAATTGAACTCAGGGCATCATGCTTGCTTGCTAGGACAAGAGCTCTATCACTTGAGTTATGTCCCCAACCTCACTCTACATTTTCACAAGTTTCCTAAGTCTCATGCAGTAGCATACTGTTATAATCCTAACACACTAAGTAGGCATTGTCATGAAGATTATGGGTTTGAGCTTATCTGACCTACAGATAGCTCTATCTTCAGGCCTACCTGTCTCAAATTCCACCTTCCACTCCCCCCCAAAAAAACAAGTTTCCTAGAAATTCAGGCATAATGTATTTTGAAAGATTGATTTGCTAAGATTGATTTGGATTACTGAACAATATACTTCAGGTAGGTTGAAACTTGGAGGTACAAACCTGTAATTCCAGCACTTGGAAGGCAGAAGCAGGACAACAAGAAATTCAGAGCCAGCTGAGCTACATAGTGGGACCCTTGTTTCAAACAAGCAAAAATCCCACCCTTTCCTATGCCCTTTTAAGGCTGACAGTGCTTTAAGAGGCTAACACAGGAAGGTAAAGGATACCTCCATAAAACCCAGTGAAGAACTTGTAAAACCCTTATTTGGATCTAGAGTCACAGCAAAATTTTAAAAAAAAGTATACATGGGGCTGGGAAGGTGGCTCAGTGGTAGAGTGCTTGCCTTGCATGCCTGAGGCCCTGGGTTCGATTCCTCAGCACCACATAAGGAAAAAGAAAAAAGCCGGAAGTGGCGCTGTGACTCAAGTGATAGAGCACTAGCCTTGAGCTGAAGAGCTGAGGGACAGTGCCCAGGCCCAGAGTTCAGGCTCCACAACCGGACCCAAAAAAATTAAAAAAACAAAACTGTACAAAACTTAAGAGAAAAGGCCTGGTTTATTAATGGGATCCTCCTCTTCCTCTGTCTTTAATATATTCATTGCATCTTAACATAAATCACATTTTTAAAAAACTGTTAAAAATAGTAAATTGCATGTCTGGTTTTACAGAAGATAGCTGGATTCTCTTCTGCCTCTGCCTTCAGTCTGTTGCAGTATAGTTGAGGTATATGAGAAGATCCAGCCTCATACAGATAGCTAGTTGGAATAGAAAAAAAAAATTGAAACCTTTTCAAATAATTGTTAGTACTCTTTAATATTACACAAAACTCAGCCTTATTTTAGAAAGGGAAAGTCAGTGATAATTTTCTCATTGCAATACACTGACCTGTCTTGTCCTTTTTTGGGGAAAGGGCTGCAAGGGGCCGGTACTGGGGCTTTAACTCTGGGCCTGGGCACTGTGCCTGAGCTTTTGTGCTCAAGGCTAGTGCTCTACCAACTTGGGCCACAATTGTGTGTGTGTGTGTGTGTGTGTGTGTCTGTCTGTCTGTCTGTGTGTGTCTGTGTGTGTGTGTCTGTGTGTGTGTGTGTGTGTGTGTCTGTGTGTGTGTGTGTCTGTGTGTGTCTGTGTGTGTCTGTGTGTGTGTGGTGGTAACTCAAGATAAGGGTCTCATGGACTTTTCTAGCTTGTCTGGCTTTGAACTACTATCCTCAGATCTCAGCATCCTGACTAGCTATGATTGCAGGTATGAGCCACCAGCAGCCAGCCTGTCTTATAGTTTGAGTGAATTTTTTTTTAACACATGCATGATTTTTGGTTAGGTTTGGCTTTTGAAACAGGGTCTTGCTCTGTGATCCAGACTGGCTTTGAACTGATAACCATACTGTCTAAGCCTCCAAAGTGCTTGATTATAAATATGTGGCACTACATCTGGCTTTTATCTACACGTTCGTACAGTAGTATACATTTGTATACAGTAGTATACAAACAAATGTTGACTGTGTTATGCAGATCTTTAAAATATTGACAGCTTGGGCTGGGAAGGTGGCTCAGTGGTAGAGCACTTGCCTTGCATGCTCCAGGCCCTGGGTTCGATTCCTCAGCACCACATAAGCAGAAAGAAAAAAGCCGGAAGTGGCGCTGTGGCTCAAGGGGTAGAGCGCTAGTCTTGAGCTGAAGAGCTGAGGGACAGCACCCAGGCCCAGAGTTTAGGCCCCACAACTAGACCCAAAAAATATATATATATATATTGACAGCTTTTTATTGTAATACTCAAACTCACTTTTAAACATATACTCACACACACACACACACATACATATCTCTATGTGCATCTTTTTTTTTTTGGTCCGGTCGTCGGGCCTGAACTCTGGGCCTTGGTGCTGTCCCTCAGCTCTTCAGCTCAAGACTAGCGCTCTACCCCTTGAGCCACAGCGCCACTTCCGGCTTTTTTCTTTCTGCTTATGTGGTGCTGAGGAATCGAACCCAGGGCCTGGAGCATGCAAGGCAAGTGCTCTACCACTGAGCCACCTTCCCAGCCCCTCTCTATGTGCATCTTAATATCTGTATATTCCAAACTCAGGAAGGATTCTTTCGTTTCATCTACTTTTTGTTTTTTGTTTCACCAGGTTTTGATGAATTAACTTGCCACTGTGGTGCATCAGTCATCTATCCTCCAGTTCCCTGTGGCACTAGGCCCCCTGAGTGTTCCCAGACTTGTGCCAGAATTCATGAATGTGACCATCCAGGTGAGTCTCTCTTCTCCATACCTTACAGCCTGTTCATACCATGTTCAACATGTTTTTGTTTAACTGCTCTGAGGTCATGCTCGGATAACAGCCCTTGTTCCTTGTTTTTCCCTGGACAAGCCTTGTACCATGGTTTTCTTACCTCTGACTCCAGGTAGCTGGGATTACAGGTGTATATCACCATGCTTGTCTTTAGAAGCAGTTTAAGAGTCATGGCAGATACCTGATTATTATTAAGCAGATACATCGTAAGGAAAGCAAATGAACAAATGAACATCTGCAGGAGATAGAGTGAAAGCTGCCTCATCTACACCTGGGATTTGGCATGTCCCTTTCCATCTCATTTTGGACTGCTTTTTCTACTTGTGCTCATTCTTCAATACTTCAGTGTGAAAAGATACTTTTACTTTCCTGTGACCATTTAGAAAAAGTATTCTGAGTACCAGAATTAGTTTCTTTATTTTTTATTTAGGTTTTTATGGTACTTTAGACCTTGCTCCTGCTAAGCAAGCTATCCCTCCAGTTTCTAGCCCCAAAGTTTAAAGTTCTATATCATACATCATTTTTAATGTTTCATGTAGTTTATATGGCCTTACCTAGAGATTAATTCTTAATGTTACCTTTCTCTTCCTGCAGTGTACCATTCTTGTCATAGTGAGGAAAAGTGCCCCCCTTGTACTTTCCTGACTCAGAAGTGGTGCATGGGCAAACACGAGGTAAGTTTTCTCTCTGAGATGTTCTTTATCCCAGTAAGAAATTTATGATTTACTTACACAAGAGTTGTTAGTCTCATTTCTCAAATTTTTTTAATTTTTTTTTTTCTTTCCAGTCCTGTGGCTTAAAATCAGGGCCCAGCACTGTCCCTGAGCTTCTTTTGCTCAAGGCTAGCACTCTACCACTTGAGCCACAGTGCCACTTCTGGCCGGTTCTGTTTATGTGATACTAAGGAATCAAATCCAGGGCTTCGTGCTTGCTAGGCAAGCACTCTACCACTAAGCTACACTTCTAGCCCATAAATATACTCTTAAGAAACAGCTTTCTATCGCATTAAAATGTTTATGCAATAAAATAGCCTTTTAAATGTAAAGGTCTGTGGAGTTTTTTTTTGTTATCAACAAATGTATCTATCCAGACAGTAACCACCATCACAATTAAGGTATAGAAGAGTTTACTTAAACATTCCTTCATGATCTTTAGAGTTACTTTCACTACCTCTACACCTGGCAACCACAAGCAATGGGAATTTCATGGCTTTTTTTTTGGGGGGGGGGTTGTCTTGGGGCTTGAACTCTGGGCCTGGGTGCTGTCCCTCAGCTCTTCAGCTCAAGGCTAGCTTGAGCTATAGCACCACTTTCAGTTTTCTGGTGGTTAATTGGAGATAAGAGTCTCATGGAAGCCAGGCACCGGTGGCTCATGCCTGTAATCCTAGCTACTCAGGAGGCTAAGATCTGAAGACCATGGTTCAAAGCCAGCCCAGGCCAGAGACTCATCTCCAATAAACCACTAGAAACCCAACACTCGCCTTAATTCTGAAGAGCTGAGGGACAGTGCCCAAGCCCAGAGTTCAAGCCCCTTGACCGACAAAAAAAAGAAAAGAAAAAAAAAATGAGAGAGAGTCTCACAGACTTTCTTGTCTGTGCTGGCTTTGAACCAGATCCTTAGATCTCAGCCTCCTGAGTAGCTGGGATTACAGGCATAAGCCACCAGCACCTGGCTTTTATGAACTTTTTCTCCCAGTTGGCTTTAATCTATTATCCTCCTGATCTCTTCCTCCATACTAGCTGGAATTATAGGCATGTACCACCACTTGGCATGTTTCCTATAGCCTTATAGGCAGCAGCATCTTTCCTTATTTTTACTTTCAGTTCAGGCTGTCATTTCCACATACCAGTGATCCCAGCTGCTTGGGATACTGAGATAGGAAGAGTGCTAAGAGGCCAGCCCTAAGCAAAAAAAAAAAACAAGACTTTATCTGCCTCAGTTCCTAGACAACATTACCCAAAGGATAGGCCAAAATATTCTTGTATGTGTGTATGTATTTATTTATTTACAATACGTAGAACAAGAAGACTGGAAAAAGTCTCTTGGGTACATTGGAGTCCTTGAACTCCTTTTTTGTTTCCCCTTTAGCACAGATACGGGTTTTCATTTATCTTTGATAATGAACCTTGGCTGCCTTTGCTGTGTCTTGAGATTTTCCTTCTTTTGTTTTGTTTTATTTTTGTGGCACATCCAGGTGCTTGTGCTCTTAGCAAATTTACATGAAGATTGTACACAATGGCATTTTGCCACTTGTCACTTTTCCTCAGCAAGACAAACTCACCACGTGCTTATCCAGCTCTCTTGCCCCAGCCAGCACTGCCTCTGTGGACCTCCATGTGTTCCAGTGGCTGAGAGTGGGAATGAGGCACAGCTCCCTCATTCTCTACTGTGAACATCACTCTCCAGCTGGCATAGCTCCTACATTGGCTACCACTTTCTGAGACAACTGTAGAATTTCCAAGTATTTCTAGTTGTCTGGCCTCATTTCTTGTTGCCTACCTTAGAAAATTTGTCTCAGGTTACATGTGGCTACTACCACAGATATTTTTGTATCATAAAGAGCATTATTATTAAAATTCAAATTTGTTTCTGTTTTGGGGTTGTTTTTTTTTTCAGACTAACCTCTCAGACTTTGAAAATCAAATTGATTATTTTCAGATAAAAAGAGCTCAAAGGGCTGGGAAGGTGGCTCAGTGGTAGAGAGCTTGCTTTGCAGGCCTGAGGCCCTGGGTTCGATTCCTCAGCACCACATAAGCAGGGGAAAAAAAGCCAGAAGTGGCGCTGTGGCTCAAGGGGTAGAGCGCTAGCCTTGAGCTGAAGAGCTGAGGGATAGCGCCCAGGCCCAGAGTTCAGGCCCCATGACTAGACCCAAAAAAAAAAAAAAAAAAAGAAAAAAAGAGTTCAAAAGCCGGGTGCTGGTGGCTCACGCCTATAATCCTAGCTACTCAGGAAGCTGAGATCTGAGGATCACAGTCTAAAGCCAGCCTGGCAGGAAAGTTCATGAGACTTACCTCCTGTAAAGCACCAGAAAAACCAGAAGTTGTGCTGTGGCTCAAATGGTAGTGCACTCACCTTGAGCTGAAGAGCTGAGGGATGGTGCTCAGGCCCAGAAGTTCAAGCCCCAAGACTGACAAAAAAAAAGAGAGAGAGAGCTCAAAGTGGTAGCGCATTAGCCTTGAGCAGAAAAGCTTACGGACAACAACCAGGCCTTGAGTTCAAGCCCCACAACTGACAGCAAAAAAACCTTTTCAGATTGATTTTGTTGTTGTTGTTTTGTTTTTTTTTAACAAAAGCATCCATACGGTCATGTAACCACTATCATAGTCAAGGTTGTATATACCTGTAATCTTAGCGCTCCAGAGTCTGAAGCAGGATGATTAGAAGTTCAAGGTTAACCTAGGCTATGTATCAAGATTCTGTTTCAAAAAAAAAAAAAAAAACCATGCTGGACATATAACTCAGTGGTGGAATGCCTACCTAACATGTTCAAAGCCCTGGATTCAATCCGCAGCATGGACAAAAACAAAAAAACACCACCCTAAACCCCATACAGAAATGAGAACCTGGCTACTTCCTTTTCTCCTAGTTACGAAGCAACATCCCTTGTCACCTGGTTGATATCTCTTGCGGATTACCCTGCAATGCCATGCTTCCATGTGGGATGCACAAGTGTCAGAGACTTTGTCACAAAGGAGAATGTCTTGTGGATGAGACCTGTAAGCAGTCCTGCACCACTCCCAGAGCCAACTGTGGCCACCCATGTATGGCATCCTGCCACCCCGGCTTACCCTGCCCTGTGACCGCTTGTAAAGCCAAGGTTTGTATTGTAGGCCATGTCATTCCTAGTATGTCACTTACCATGTTGTCAGTTTGCACATGTGGTTACTTTCTGCTGTCTTGAAAAAAGAGACTCACTGACACTCTTCTCTGCTGTGGTTTGAGAGAAGCCTGCTTGTTCTTATGGTTCCCACGTACTAACAGTAACTCCAGGCAAATCGTATTTCAGGTAGAGCTACAGTGTGAATGTGGAAGAAGAAAAGAGATGATGATTTGCTCTGAAGCATCCAGTACTTATCAAAGGTTAGCACTACTGAATTTTTTTTTTTAAGCAATATGGAGATTACATGCTTTTTACGAGGATTTATTTTCTGGATACTGGTGGCTCATGACTGTAATGCTAGGTAGTCAGGAAGCTGAAATCTAAGGATTGTGGTTTGAAGCCAGCCTAGGCAGACAAATTTGTAAGATTCCTTTAACTAGCAAAATCCCAAAATGGAGCTTGTGGGTCTAGATGAAGAAAATTTGTGTGTATATAATCTTGTGGAAATTTTTCTTGTTCATTTTTGTTTTTTGTTAGTTTCTAATGCTAAGAGATCAGATCTGCAGGCTTCACACATCTAGGCTAGCACTCTTACCAGTAGAACTTTAACCCTAACACTAGAAAGTTTTACAATAAATTTTTACAAGTTGAATTTTTCACATTGAAAGAAAAGATGCTGCTTTAAAGTTGTTTTGTTCACTATTTTAATTTGAGGAATATTTTTTATTTTTCTTCCTCTTTCTTCCCCTCTCATTCCACCCCACTGCCTCGTCTTATTGTACTGTGAGATAGGAAAGGAAGATGTCCTGAAGTCTCTTTCCCAACATGGGCTTCTGATTACTCTGGGAATCTTGGAACCCATGTGGTCATACAGAGGTCTACATATATGTATGAAGAGGTATTAGGGAAAAACTGGTTGGTTGTATCTCTGATTATATGTAGAAGTGTGTCTTAGATATAGGACCTTAAGCATGAATAGACATCAGGTTGACTGTTGAATACCTAGGATGATGACCCTTGGTCTGGATGTTCAAGGAGGTATTGAGGAATTGTTAACCTCTTCACTTCCTGTGTAGCTGCTTGGAATCTAATTGAGGACATATGCCACACATGTGGAGGTAGCTGGTAATGGACAGGCTTACAAGGCCATACAAATTATCTTTTGATAGTTTGGCTTGGAAAGAGGCTTCTGTATCCCTTTCTCTTTTTTGTGTTTCAGAATAGCTGCTATTTCTATGGCTTCTAAAATAACAGACATGCAGCTTGGAGATTCAGTGGAGATCAGCAAGCTAATTACTAAGAAGGAAGTTCAACAAGCCAGGTAAATTTGAAAGTGTATTGATTGATATAGCTAGCTTCTTTCTCCAGTTAGACTTAATTTGTAGAGAGCATAACATTTATCTTAGTCTCCCAACAGTGGTCCCTCACACATAAAGCATATCTTCCCCCAATTTAGATGTTGAAGCCACACACGCTAACCTAACAGATCTTACTCAGGACATGGCTAAGACCAGAGGACATTATCCAGGCCTCATTCCAGGTAGTTGGCAGGAATGCACACAGCAAGCCTACAGAATGATAACTGCACCTAGAAGGGGATATTTGTGAAGCATTTTAGACACTGGGGATCCAGGGAACACCCTGAAGCCCACTGAGGATTCCTAGACTTCCTGTATTCCTATGTCCCTCTCACCAGCCATCCCTGGCTTAGGGCCCAAAGGAAGCAATGAAATTTTTGGGGTAGAGGGTGTTAGAAACCTCTAAAGTAGTGGCCTTGTTCTTGGGTGGTCTACCTAAGATTTTCTTGCTGAATAGGAGCTGTGAAGTTTGTGCCTTGACTTTGTGTTTTTGTTTTTCATTTGCTTTTCAAGGCTAGAATGCGATGAGGAATGCTCAGCCTTGGAAAGGAAAAAGTAAGTGGTTTCAACAGCTTGTTATCTACTTCTCCTTGAGCCCAGTGTAATTCCTGGGAGGGAGTGATCTGAATTATTACTGTTATCAGACAGCATCAGAAATGTGATCATCAAGAACTTGAATTCTCTAAGAATAAACCACTCAAGTAAATTCAGCATGTGGCAGAAACATGAGCTGTGTGGTTTAGGGTGTAATATAAATATCACATGCCACAATATGCTTATTTTGTGTCTGGCCAACTTCCTGATTCCAGCAGAGATAAGAGACTTTAAAAAATGAAAAATGTCTGACTTGTTTACTAAGGTATAATGTAAGTGTACAGAGCAGTGAATAATGAATACAGTGGTGGAAACAGCACCAGGGTTACAAAAAAAAAAAAAAAAAAGAAAATTACTAGAGCCCTCTCTTGGACTCCACAAAGTTGTAATGTCTGTCCTGATTTTAGCACTTTAGTTTTGTCCTATTTTGAACTTTGTATAAAATGATAACATAAGTGGGGCACCCGTGGCTCGCACCTACAATCCTAGCTACTCAAGAGGCTGAGTTCTGAGGATTGTGGTTCAAAGCCAGCCCAGGCAGGAAAGTCTGTGAAACTCATCTCCAGGAAACCACCAGAAAACTGGAAGTGGCACTGTGGCTGAAGTGGTAGAGTGCTCGCCTTGAGCTGAAGAGCTCAGGGATAGTGCCCAGGCCCAGAGTTCAAGTCCCACAACCAACCAACCAACAAAAAAAAAGATAACATAATTTTTTGTTTGTGTGTGTATGTGAGCTAGTCCTGGGACTTGAACTCAGTGCCTTGGGCACTGTCACTGAGCTTTAGCCACAGTTCTACTACTGGCTTTTTAGTGCTTAATTGGAGATAAAAGTCTCACAGATTGGGGCTGGGAAGGTGGCTCAGTGGTAGAGTGCTGGCCTTGCACGCATGAAGCCTTGGGTTCGGTTCCTCAGCACCACATAAGCAAAACAAAAAAAAGCTGGAAGTGGCACTGTGGCTCAAGTGGTAGAGTACTAGCCTTGAGCTAAAGAGCTGAGAGACAGCGCCCAGGCCCAGAGTTCAGGCCCCACAACTGGACCCAAAATAAATAAATTAATTAATTAAATAAATAAAAGTCTCACAGATTTTACTGCCCTGGCTGTCTTCAAACCATGATCCTCAGATCTCAGCCTCCTGAGTAGTAAAGATTACAGGGCAAAGTTGGGTGCCACTGGCTCAGGCCTGTAATCCTAGCTACTCAAGAGGTTGAGATCTGAGGATTGCAGTTCAAAGCCAGCCCAGGCAGGAAAGTCTATGAGACTTTTGTCTCTGATTAAACATCAGAAAAACAGAAATGGCACAGTGGCTCAAGTAGTAGAGTGCTCACCGTGAGCTGAAGAGCTAAGGGACAGCTCCCAGGCTCCGATTTCAAGCCCCACGACCGACAAAAAAAAAAATTATAGGTAAGAGCCATCTGTGCTTGGCTTAAATAACATAATATAGTTTATTTTATTATATTTGTGACCCTCACTGTTGTTCTATACATTTTCACTTCTGCATGATATTTTGCTGCATTAATATATTGAACCAGTCTACCATTTATGGGCATGTGTATTGTCATCACTACTGGGGATTATAAATAGTGCTGTTAAGAACATTTTTACTTTTTACTGTATATATGCACTTGCTTCTGTTAAATATAAACAGGAGTAGAATTGCTGATACAGTATACAAATAAATGTTCAGTTTCAGTCGATTTGCCTAAACAACATCCTTCTAACAGGATGGAAATTCCCATTACAACATATTTTTACCCGCACTTGTCTTTTTAACTGTAATCATTTTCCTGGATTAATAGAAGAATGTGTAGGGTAGTTTTAAGTGAATATGTAGAAGGTAATGTGATGCCTAGTGGTGCTGTCCATCTCTCCCTTGGCTTGACTCTCATGGCAACTTTCAAACTTCCTGCCTTTTTAGAACCCTTAGTTACAGTGCTACAAAATGTGAACTTGAGAAAAGTTCTTGCCATTTCGAAATGCATTGAGTACACTAACGTCCTCCAAAATATGAGAATATATCTTTTTGTAGTTGAGAGACAGTATTGAGCTGTTGAGAGCTCCAAAGTCAGATTGGAGTATGAATCTAGTTTCCCAAAGCTCATAACCTTGGTCTAGTCATATTTTCTTCTTAAGAATCTGTCAACGGTGATAATAATTTCTGCTTTACATAGTCATTGTGAGGATTGAGATGAATGTCTTAGGTTTGTCTACCCAGGCTGGCTTTGATCCACAATCCTCAGATCTCAGTCTCTTAAGTAGCTAGGATTATAGACATGAGCTACTGGTACCTCACTTACCTTATTCTTGATTTAAACCTCAGATAAATTATCTCAGAAACCCAGCCTTCTTTTCCCCTAAAGAATCCAAGTCTCCAGTAGTCAGCTCACTCAAATCCAAATTAGATGCGTTTTGTGTATTTTCTTCAGTGGAGACAGTACTACATTTATCCCAAATTGTTCTTTCTTTAGTGTTCTAGTTTACTGAAATGAGACAATACATAAAGAACTTAGGACTTGATAATTATTCTATTTTACTGCGCAGTAGAAGATAATTTCCCTTCTTGTATTTGTATTCTCTCTTGATTCTAGGAGATTGGCAGAGGCATTTGATATCAGTGATGATTCTGATCCTTTCAATGTAAGATCTTCAGGCTCAAAATTCAGTGATAGTTTGAAAGATGATGCCAGGTATGTAACTTTTCTTTTTGTTTGCTTTTTTTGTAACTTGTTATCTACTTTTTAATTGGTGATATATTAGAGTGTTTAGTATAAACTAGTATGTGTTTCTGATTTACTTATTGTAATAAATTACATGTTATTTCATAAAACCTATCCCTAGTTTCTTGAAGCTGATCCCTCAAAGAACTGAACTTAGGGTTGAGAAAATGACCCTGTGGCAGGATTATGAACCTGCCAAGGGCTGGACCAGGCTGAATGAAGGATTTCTGGGTCACATTCCACCTCTGTACACCCAGGTCTCATAATCACGTTTTTCACTTGGGGCAGTAACTTTTGTTCTACTATTTCCTGGTCCTCTGATGACTGTTTTTCCTTCCTCCTTCTCTTGTCATGTTTGCCTTTTCTTTTTCTGTTTTGTGATTCTCAAGTTATCTTACAATTTCTGATCCTTACAATTCTTCTGACAACATTGTCTTGTATGCACTTTATAGGCAGAGGGTGGGTAAAAGGGGTTCCTAAAAGGGCAGGAACAGATGGAATTAACTATGATGGTTTCTCATTTCAGGAAGGACTTAAAGTTTGTCAGTGACGTTGAGAAGGAAATGGAAACCCTTGTGGAGGCTGTGAATAAGGTTGAAAAAAAAATCCAAATAGATATTTCTCCAGGGCCAACCTGATTTTTTTTAAAAAGAGCAAATCGTGTCCCCAAAACACATTCAGGCTAGTTATAGGAAAAAGCCACAGCTTCCTTGAGGATCTTAATCTTTCCCAAAAACCATGTGAGAAGAGAACACGCTCTTCCTTTGTTACCTCAAAGGCAAGACAGAAACCCTGGAGGAAGATGAAACACTGTATGACTGTTGCTGAAGAGCAGTGGAGATAAGACTACTTCATGAGAGTAAGGCCCATGTCGTGGAATCAGCCATGAATGCAAGGAGGTAGACTTAACTGAAAAGTCTTAATTTAGTCAGAAGCAGCTAACACATCATTGGTTCCCTTTATGATCAGTGGGGACTAGAAGATGGCTGCTTTAGCTCCTTGTCTATATCCTTCCTATTGTTTTCCTTGCCCTCTTCCCATTCCCTACCTTACCACTTTCCTGCAGAAGAAAGTGGAATGTATTTTCCGCTCCTAATTATAACTGGAGCATGTCTTTGTCACATACTTCTGTTTTTCTTGTTTGTTTTTGTTGGGTTTTTCTTGTTGTTCTTTGTGCCAGTCTTGGGGCTTGAACTCAGCCTGAGAAGTGTCCTTGAGCTTCTTTGCTCAAGGCTAGCACTCTGCCACTTGAGCCTTAGCTCCACTTCCACCTTTTTTGGGAGCAGTTAATTAGAGATAAGTCTCACAGGCTTTCCTGCCTAAGTTGGCTTCAAACCAAGATCCTCAGATCTCAGCCTCCTGAGTAGCTAGGATTACAGGCATGAGCCACCAGCACCTAGCTCATACTGCTGTTTTAGGTCTTCGGCTTATTTAGTCATTTCATGGTGGTGGGGGAGGGGGGGGAGGATATCATATACTCCCTAGCTTCCTCAGGAGAAACAATTAGGCTCTCCACTAAAGTCTCAATTCATTTACCTTTTGGTCCCAAACCCTGTCCCTCTCCTCATCAAAGCATAGAAATGTATCAGTTCCTATCATTCCAAACCCCTCTGGGATTACATAGCAGGTAGGGAAGTATACTGTATAATGTGAACCTCTAAAATTCAGTAACTTCTGGTTGGCCAAGCTGTTCTGTGATAAGCATAGTTGTGTTTTCTGTTTTCAGGATGATATCAATCAGTCATTTCTTCCCTCAATACAGGGAAAGAACAGTAAGAAAAGCCACTGCTTCCCTCCCATGAACAGAGATCACCGCCGGATCATTCATGACCTGGCCCAAGTTTATGGCCTGGAGAGTGTGAGCTATGACAGTGAACCAAAGCGCAATGTTGTGGTCACTGCCATCAGGTGGGTTGATCTTCCTGTTCCAAGAGGAACTCCTTAGAAGGGCAGACTGAACCCAGGAGACCCAGTGTATCGATATTTGCTTTCCTTGCTTCCTCTATTAGGATAATAGAAGCAAAATCTGATCTAGGACACCCATTTTACCATGATCTAAAGCCCCTGCCCCATTCCACAGGACAGGTACACTTAAGGTGCACATGCCACATGTCTGCCCTAATCCATGACAAATTCTAAAGGTGACATTTCTGGAAGTAGAGGGAACAACCCTGGGGGCCTGAGCAGGATGGCTTTCTCATCAAAGCATAGAAGTATATAAATTCCCTTGTCCTTCTCTGTCTCCTGTTCCTGGTTCTGCCCTCCTGGCCTAAGGAAAACAGAAAGAATGCCGGACTCCATCTCAAGGCATTCTCTGTAAACAGTGTTTTGCCATCAGGGGAAACAGGTAGTAGTGTGAGTCAGAAGAGGACAGGAAGAAACTGGGGTCATTTTCAGAAGCTGAGGTCATCAGAAGAATTTCCAACGAAGTATAGCTGGGAGGAAGCAGGCAACACAACAGTGAGTCAGGGGTAAATGGAAAGGTAAATGCAAGTGACCATGTCTGAGAGAGACAGATTATATGAGGAATTGCTCAACATCACAGTGCCGAAGTCAAAGGCTGAGTTTGTACTCATTTGCCTCATCTCTGTAGCAATTCTCACTTGAGTATTGTGTTTTCTCTTATCAGAGGGAAGTCTATTTGTCCTCCCACCACGCTGACAGGTGTGGTTGAAAGGGAGTTGCAGACACGGCCTCCACCACCAATTCCTCATCACAGACATCAGGCAGACAAGTAAGTATTCTTCAGTTGCTTTCCTACGAGACCATTTGGTCATCAAAGCCAACAAGGGTGAACCGACCTGAGCTACATCAGCCACTGGTGACCCCCTTGGGTTTGGCCTTAGGATGTAGCATTAATTAAGGTTAAGTAAAGTGTCATATGTTTGTTCAGTCCAAGGAGTACTTAAGTTTGCTGTTTGTAATCCCAATTCCACACCAGGGAAGGCATGACTGGACATAATTTCCACAGTGTAGCTGGTGTCCTGGGAAGTGGATTAAGTCTGTCACCGAATTAAAACTGGAACATTACCTAGTTAACAATCATCACTATGGGTATGGAAATGGGATTACAGGGAGAGTTGGCAGTGTATAGCTGGGCAAAAAAGAGCTGGCAGTATAGGGAGTGTATGGAGACTTCATCTTTTATTTACCTCCATATGACTTGAATGTTGTTTTTTGTTTTTGTTTTTGGTACCATTCCTGGAGCTTGAACTCGGGGCCTGGGTGGTGTTCTTGAGCTTTTTCACTCAAAGCTAGCACTCTACCATGAGTCACAATTTCCCTTCTGGCTTTTTGGTGGTAAATTGAAGATAAGAGTCTCACTGAAGTGGTGCTGTAGCTCAAGTGGTAGAGTGCTCGCCTTGAGCTGAAGAGCTGAGGGACAGCGCCCAAGCCCAGAGTTCAAGCCCCATGACCCAAAAAAAAAAAAAAGAGAGTCCCACTGACTAGCCATGATCCTTAGATCTCAGACTCCTGAGTAGTTAGGATTATAGGCATGAGCCACCAGTGCCTGGCTTCAGTCTCAGCCTCCTAAGTAGCTAGAAGTATAGGTGTGAATGATCAGCACCCAGTGTTATTTCTTTCTCTCTTTTTGGTCGTGGGGCCTGGGTATTGTCCCTGAGCTCTTTTGCCCAAGGCTAGCACTCTACTACTTTGAGCCACAATGCTACTTCTGATTTTCTGGTGGTTAAATGGAGATCAGAGTCTCATGGATTTTTCTGTCCAGGCTGGCCTTGAACTGCAATCCTCAGATCTCATCCTCCTGAGTAGCTAGGATTACATATGTAGGCCACCAGCACTTGGCTTCTTATGGATATTTTTTATAGTAGAAATAATAGTATCAATGAAAACCTGTGTGCCCATTGCCAAATTTCAGCAATAACCAGTTTGTGTTTGCTGTTCTGTCTTATCAAAGCTTCACAAAGTGGTTAATCAAGTCAGTCCTTGACTTTCGGAAGATTTGTGTGTTTCTCCCAGAGAAGAAAAGATAGGTCAATCTTTGTTTGCTTTTCAGGAATTCTGGGAGCAATAATTTACAGAAGATAATCAAGGAGCCAATAATTGACTACTTTGATGTCCAGGACTGAGAAGAGGACGATGCACTTAAGACGATGATTAGGTGTCGTAGATGGAGACTCACTTACCAGCAGATTAATCATACTTGTTTCTCTCTGCCTGGCAGAATCACAGTCTTACATGCTGTTTTACACTGTGTCAGTGTCTTCCACTGATACATCTGAAGCATGAATGTGTCAGAAATCCCCTTGTCCATTTTTATCTGTATAAAGTGTTTCACCCTGGCCAGATCTCTGATTGGTATAGTCACTAGGTTTTAGTCATTATTTTGAGGCTCCTCACATCATCACTGTAATTGCTCTGAGGATTGGAGGAATATTGAATTTTATTTGAACAAACCAGAATTTTATCCCCAACCTGACTTCATGGCATCTAATCATAGTCTTAGTTATTACATTTATTCATTTTCCTGAAAATGTCTACAACATCCGATGGACCTCACATGGAATCACATGACATCCTAAATGCTGCCATCCTATGCAAGTTTTTTGCCAAACACTGACACTTCTATCTAGCCAAATTTCTTTTAGTGTTATCCATTTTAGGACAGTCAGGTTGCTTTATAGAATTCCATTTTCCCAAGTCCCTGCATCTCTTCACACCACATCAGCAAGCCTGTGTGTTGACAGTTCGGTCCTCCCTCATTTGTGGAGGATGTGAATCGAGTTCTCCTTTTGGCAGATTCACATTGTAGCCCATGGGAACTGATCCGTGTAGCCCTAACTCCTCTCTGATTGATAAAGAGTCTCAGACGATTGTTCTGTGTTGCTTTTTTCTAGGCCTTTACCAGCCATATGGGCTCTCCTTGTCTCTGATTCTGGACCTCTGGTTTTCTTATTTGTACTTATTCAGCTTGCTTACTCAACTGGCATTCAACCACCTGAGCCACAACTCCAGCCCAGCTTCTTATTGATTTTTTTGGAGATAGAATCTCACAGGCTTTTCTTCCCTGACTGGTCTTTTTTTTTTCTTTCTTTCTTTTCCTGGCTGGTCTGGAACTGTCTTCCCCTGAGTCTCAGCTTCCTGAGTATTTAGGATTACAAGTTTGAGCCACTGGCACCTGCCTTGGACCTCTGATATGAATAGTTGTGGATAGTCCAGAGCTTATGCCAAAGCAGCCCCATGAAAGCTAATCTCAGGCTCCAGTGAGACAGTTACATTGGCAGTTACATGGATTTGGCACTCTTTGTATTAGTACTCATCAGTTATGCAGCCAGACTTCCAGCAACTTCCTCCTGCTTCAAAACAAACCTTGAAGCTGAGTACTGTTGTCTCATATCTGTAATCCTAGCTACTCAGGGGATCATAATTTAAAGCCAGCCCAGGCAGAAAAGTCCGCAAGACTCTACCTCTGGTGCTGGGAAGGTGGTTCAGTGGTAGAGCACTTGCCTTGCATGCATGAGGCCCTGGGTTCGATTCCTCAGCACCACATAAGCAAAAAAAAAAAAGCCGAAAGTGGCGCTGTGGCTCAAGTGGTAGAGCGCTAGCTTTGAGCTGAAGAGCTGAGGGACAGTGCCCAGGCCCAGAGTTCAGGACCACGACTGGACCCCCCCCAAAAAAAAAAAGACTCTACCTCCAAAATAATCAGCAAAAAGCTGGAGGCATGGTAGAACATTGTTAGCTGAGCAAGAAAGTATGAGTTCAAAACTCCAGTAACTGCCTGTCATGGTCAGATTTGAAAACAGACCAAGGCAGGGAAAGAAAAATAGGGGGAGGTGCCAAATCTCAGGTGTTCCTATCGACTTAGGGAAGTCCCTGTGGTACTAGCCATCTTGCTTCTTGTGGATAACCTGGATATCTTGTCTCCTAAGGAGAGCCTGCTTGGGTTCCTTCTCTTCTAAAAGGTGAGGTACTGCTTCTTGCTTTTCTCATCAATCACCCTCAACCTTCATATACACCGGGGAAAGTCTGCCTCCCAAACTTCACATGGTCTTGACAGAGATCCCCTATACCATCCTACATGGCCTTTTAGAGCTCAAGGATCCCCAGGGGTTATGGAAGGTAATCTGGCCCCTCAACCTGCAAAGACTGAGCCTAGAAGGAACCAGATCCCTTAGGACCACAATATGGAATCCAGGACCATTTCCAAACCTAAGAGTACTCTGCACCAGGAGATAGCTAAGCCTTTAGGAAAAAGTGATGTTTCCCTCTCTGGCTTACTTAAATAGCTTACTTTGAAGAGTTGCCCAGTGACTCAGGTGATCCTCAGCCCCAGGCTTCTTCTATAACGTTGCTCTTGGTACTGCACAGCCTCCTGGAAGACCTGTGGGGGAGAAAACCCAGCTAAACAGCCACAATATCTGTCTTGCTGCCTCAGCTTGCTTATAATGGGCGATTGGTTCTACATGGGCATGGTTCAGGTAGGGTTTCTGCCTATGTGCTGCCTGAGCTGTCATGGAGATAGCAGGCAGCATGAGAGATCGGGAGGCTCCTTGTGTCACGTCAGTACTGTCAAGCCTTGAACTCGTACTAGGACAGCCTCGGGTAGCTCTTGGGGGCAGGGGAGGGACAGATGAAGCTTCCCTGACAAGGACAAGAGTGTCCAATCACTTCCCCTTACCTGATCACCCAATACCAATGAGAGAGTCATAAATTTACTCACACTTTACCAGGAAAGAACAAGGATTTAACAGAGCACAGTGCTCAAATCCTACTCCTCAAAGCCCTAGGAAGTATTATCACCCCTATTTTACCAGTAGCATAACAGGATGAGAGAAGTTCAGTCATTTGCCCAAGATCATTCAGTGAACAACAAGGAATCTACTGGGTCTGTAGCACATACAGCTCAGCTGGAGGTCAGGGTGGTGTAGCAGGTCACATCAAGTGGAAGATTATACCAAGTCCAGTCCCTAAGCAGAACACATACCAGTAAACCAGTGAAAACGCCTTTTTCAGAAATGGCCACTAGGGTGCAGTATGGATCCCAAACCATAAAGAGTTGGGGAGTGCCTCAGAGTTCTCCATTTCCAATTTTTTAGAAGCATTTATAACCAATATTGTGGCGAGGGAGCGGGTGGTCCTGGGCTTGAGGGGTCTTTGCTCAAGGCTAGCACTCTTATTCCTAGAGCTACAGGTCCATTTCCAGCTTTTTGGTCGTTATTAGAGATAAAAAGTCTCATATACTTCCCTGGTCATGCTGGCTTTGAACCACAATCACTAAGATTACAGGGATGAGCCACTGGCATTCAGCTTACAACCCGTATTTTAAGTTTGTCATATTTTCTTGACAATACACCAAGTATAAGCACAGGGAGGAAGCACCTGAAGGAGGTCTATTCCAGGCAGAGAGAATAGCTCTACAAAGCTCTACAAAGGAAATGCCTTACCCCACAAACAGCAAAACCATCATTCTGCAGGGGGAGCAAGTGGCCAAGTAAGTAACAGAAAACTTGATGCTGCAGGGCCTTGGAGACCAGTGGAAGATACAGGGCACTGGAGAAAATGAGAAGACCTAGCTCACTTTCAAAAAGAATTCTCCATCTTCTATTTGTGAGACTAGGTTGTAGGATGAATAAGAGGCACCGGAAGGAGGCTGGGAGACCAGTCAGAAGACCACTGCTTATAATCCAAGAAAGAGACCAGTGATCTGAAGCAGGGTTGGTGTGGGTGGTAAGAGTTGCTGAATTCTGGATCCATTTTTTTCGGACAGTACCTAAGGGACTTGCTGACAGCTGGGGTGTAGGATGTGAGTGATAGGGAGAGTCAGGGATGACTTCCAAGTTTTTGGTCTGAGCAGTTACAAGACGGAATTTGCCATTTTTGAGGTAGGGAAGCATGTGGGAGAGACAAGCTTAGTGGAGGGAAATCTGGCTGGTAGGCAATTGAACATGAGCATCTGAAGTCTGGAGACAGGACTGGGAAAGGGATCTAATTTAGGGAGTCATTACATACAGTGATATTTAAAGGCTGGTGATATCATGTTGGGAGATCCGGTGAGAAAGCAGAGCTATAAGGACTCGGCCCTGGATACTCCATCATCCAGGACCACAAAGTAAAGGAGCTAAGCATTAGCAGCTTCAACTCCTCCCTACCTTTCTTCCTCTGTTCACACTGAGCAAGCAGCCTGGGGTTTGCAACTCTGAGCCTTTGTTCCTGCGGTTTCCCTAGTAGAACATCCATAGCCAGAGATGATGGTTGACTGGTGTGAAGGTACCTGGGGTTTCCTTCCAGGCTGCCATGGAGAACGTAGGCTTCTCTTGCCTGTCCAAAGCATCACCTTTGTGATGCTTTGTGGGGGAGGATTGGACCCCCAGCATCAGGGTAATAGATTCTCCTCTTCCTTCCCTATTCCTTGAAAATGGGTTCACTCTAGGGATCCATAATCTCTCCTGGGACCATCTTTTCCTTCAAACTACCAGCTGCCAGCTCCAGACTCAAAAGCTAGGTCTCCAGCCAACATCTGTCTTTGTCTCGACATCTCACAGCATCTCCAGCTCAGCATGTCTAACATCAACCCCATCATTTCTTCCCAGAGTACCTCCTGGTATCTCTACCACATACCCAGAGCCCCGGGCAGCCTCATCACACTCAAGGTCCCTAGATTTCAGCTTCTAAGTTCTCTGCTATCCCCTCCCCATCCCATGCCTTACCAGCTGCCTCTCACTGCAATCCTTTCCCATCCCTCCCCCTCCAAGCCACCTCCACAGTGGTCAAAGGGCACTGTTGTAAGAAACCAGTCTGGCTCTTCTATTACTTAGCTAACATGCTTCAAATTTCTCCAGGAGGAAAGTTCCACTGCCTCTCTAGCCCTAGGCATTTTGAGCTGTTCTCTGCCTTGTCTCTTCTACCCTACTGAATACCCAGTGGTTCACACACAACCCTGTATCTGTGCTGCTGCTATTCCTTCTCGCTGGAGCACTCTCACTTTGTATCCCTAGTGAACAAGATTCTGCCCTAGGGGCTGGGAAGGTGGCTCAGTGGTAGAGTGCTTGCCTTGCATGCATGAGGCCCTGGGTTCGATTCCTCAACACCATGCAAACAGAAAGCCGGAAATGGCACTGTGGCTCAAGTGGCAGAGTGGTAGTCGTGAGCCGAAGAGCTGAGGGCAGCACCCAGGCCCAGAGTTCAGGCCCCACAACTGACAAAAAAAAAGATTCTGGTCTAGTACATGTGAACGGTGCCTGAATGCTAAGGAAGAAGACAATCTGCCAGGCACTGGTGGCTCACACCTGTAATTCTAGCTACTCAGGAGGCTCAGATCTAAGGATCGTGATTCAAAGGCAGCCTGGGCAAGAAAGTCCTTGAGACTCTTTATCTCTAATTAATTACCAAGAAGCCAGAAGTAAGCTGGCCACCAGAATTACAGGTGTGAACCTGTAATTCTAGCTACTCAGGAAGCTGAGATCTGAGGATCATGATTTGAAGCCAGCCTGGGCAGGAAAGTCCATGAGACTCTTACGTCCAGTTAACCACAGAAATGCCAGAAGTAGAGCTTGTGACTCAAGTGGTATAGCACTAGCCTTGAGCACAAAAAGCTCAAGAGACTGCACCCAGGCCAAGTTCAAGCCCCAGAACTGACAAAAAACAAATTAGAGCTGTTGTTCAAGTGGTAGAGCACTTGCCTTAGCACAAAAGCTTAGATCAGCATTCAAAGCCCCAGGACAGTGTTCTAGTGAGGCTCTGGAGGGCCTCCCAAAGTGCAGGCATCCCCTTCCCAGTCAGGGGGCTGCAGTCTGAAGGGGGCACCTTCCAACATAAATCCCCAGCCCTCACTCCACATAGTGTAGATCTTCCTTGGTCTTAAGGGAGCCTCACCTGGAGCCAAGTGTGGAGGAATGGCAAAATGGGGTCAAGGACACATTTTGGGTAGAAGAGTGTGGGAATGGAACCCATTGTCTACACAAGCTTTACAAGTGTTCTGCCACAATGCTACATGCCCAGCCCGGGAGACCGCTGGCAGCACTCTGACACCACCACCTGAGACATCTGTATCCATCCCTGAAGGTTTGGTTGGGTCACTGGAGATCTCAAAGGCTCAGTCCAAGACTTGAGGCCACATCTGTGTGCTTGAGTGTACCGGACTGAGCTATATGGCTTCTCCCTAAGCCTATAGCTGGAGAGGTCCAGATCCTCCTCACACACCTCAAGCACCCCCATCTTAGCTCCTAGTCAGAGACAAGGATCTTAAGACCTGAGCCCTTGAAAACTCTACTCTGTCTGAAGTTCCATTTTATTTGAGGATTGTTTTATTTTGAAACAATCTCCCTATGTCTCTCTGATTGGCCTCAAATTCCTGAGCTCAAGTAATCCTCCTGTTTCAGCCCCCTGAGCATGGACATCTGGCTGGTGTGTGAGTGTGTGTGTGTGAGTGTGTGTGTGAGTGTGTGTGTGTGTTTCTGTGTGTGTATGTTTCTTTTTTCGTCAGTTGTAGGGCTTGAACTCAGGGCCAGGACACTGTCCCTGAGCCTTTTCACTCAAAGCTAGTGTTCTACCACTTTGAGCCATAGCTCTGCTTCTGGTTTTCTGGTAGTTAGAGATAAGAGTCTCATGGACTTCCCTGACCTGGCTTTGAACCAGGATCCTCAGATCTCAGCCTCCTGAGTAGCTAGGATTACACTGTGAGCCAGTGGTACCCAGCTACACCTGGCTACCTTGAGTATTTGTGTTGTTATTGTAAGTATACCTCTGTTAGTTACACTGATTGCAGAGCATATTTCATGATTAAAGTGTAAGATTTGATTTTGGGTGCAGAGTTAATGCAAGGCTTCAGAAGCATACTAACAGCTACACTCCCTCCTCTGCCCTTACAAAACCTATCTCCTCAGCCTCAGTTTCCTTGTATATCAGATGTGGGTGATGTGTGTTGTTGCCATAGTGATGAAACATGCATGTACATTCCCAAATGCAGGTGCGACCCTGTTGTCACAGTAGCTCTGTGGGGAGGAGCTCTTAGACTATCTTTACACAGCCAGGAAGTGGCAGAGCAGGTGTTTGGCTTCATTATGCTCTTAGCACCCATGCTGTATACAGATTGGCTGGATGGCTAAGATCCACCTGAGGTCAGTGCAGAGGTGGAGGTGGAGCTAAGGTCCAACTGCACTGCTGAGAAGTGGCCACAGCCTCCTAATGCTGAAGATGTCAGCACGAGGCCTGGACCTGAGGTGCAGGACCCATCTGAGGGGCATCAGGATACAGCCATTGACCCTTGGATATCCATGGAGTAAGGCAGACGGGGTCTCTTCTCAAAGCTGGGAACAACAGGCTGCAAACCAAACCTGCTTTGCTGTGCTTGCAAAGGGCTTGCAGAAAAGCCCTGAAAGAGCCTGGCCTGGGGCTTGGAGTTGTTCCTGCCCAGCCTCTGTGCCCATCTCAACTTCAGCCTCAGCTAGAGAAGGCAGGTTGGAGAGTAGGCCTCTAAAAGGAGGCCTCAAAGTGCTAGAAGAAGTCAGAAGGGAAACCAAGGCCCAGAGAAGGGAGCAGTATTGTCTGTGTCACATAGGCAGTCTGTGCTGGGAAAATGGGAATGTGTGTGCATGCGCACACGTGAACATGCCTGCATGTATTGGCCAACAAGGCCCCACGAGGGGCCCACTCCACCCATCCTGCTTCCTTCCTTCCTGCACCAGGACCTGCCTTTCCCCTCTAGAGACTCTCACCTCTGCCCCAACCTTTGTCCTCACCTCTCCCCTGGACCTGGCCTCAGTCCACCCGTACCCTCGATTTCTCTGACCTCATCTTCTTCCCCTTCCATTCCAGCACAATAGCTCCTCCAGGTCCCACCACCTGAGCTCTTCATCCTGACACGCTCTCCCACCCCACCCCAAGTGTCTCCATGCCTCACTCCGTCACCCCTTCCAGGTCCTCCCATAATTGGCTTCTCAGCAAGGCTGTCTTTGGTTCATAGCTCCCTAAAACTTCCTGTTTATCCTTCTTGGCATTAGTTACCCACCATATATTTTGCACAGTCCAGAGATTTGTTTGTTTTCCTTGTTCCCATATCCTTGACGCTAGAATGATGGCTGTCACATTATAAGCTCTCAACCAATGTCTGCTGAGAGAATGTGCCTGGGGTCAGGCCCATCAGACTGAGCCTGCCATTGGCACTAGAACCTGCAAGTTGTGACAGGAAACATCAAAGGCAAGTTGGTGGCAGGACAGCACACAGTAGGTAGGAGTTCTAGATGAACATACTACCAGGATCGTGAGGCTGTGAAAGGCTGGTATTCAGAGCCAGGTGCTGGTGGCTGATGCCTATCAGCCTAACTACTTGGGCTGAGAGCTGAGGATCAAGGTTCAAAGTCAGCCCAGGCAGGAAAATTCAGGCAACTCATCTCCAGTTAACCACCAAAAAGAGCTTTGGCTCAAGTAGTAGGGCTGCAAAGAAAAAACTTAAAAATTAAGCTAAGGAGGAAATGGAGGCATGCTTCAAGTAGAAGAGCACCAGCCTTGAATGAAAAAGAAAAGCGAAGCTATCAGGTCCTTGGTTCAAGCCACATACACACACACACACACACACACACATTAAGGGACAGCTCCCAGGCCCTGAGATCAAGGCCCGGTGCTAGCATAAAAGATAGATAGATGAAAGAAAAGAAGGAAGAAAAGGCTGGGTTTAGTGAGGGGCATAGGAATTAGACTCAAAGCCCTGGGGCCTGCACATGCTTCTCAGCTATCATTGAGGCCTTGGGGTCATGTTCCCCTGGAATGCCAGGAATGAAAGGACACCACCTTCATGCTCACAAGGCTGCTGGGGCTGAGGGGGGGAAAGGGCTTGCCTGGGTCAGATGGGGGCCACTGGTGACTCAGCTGCCAGCTCTTTCCTAGTCACTCCCAGACCTGGTTCCCTGGGCTTGGTGCCTGCCTCCTGGGCCCCTGTGATCTTAGCCATGTAACCTCTGTCAGCCCCTCCTAATGTTATACTACAGCTGACTTTAGATTCATAGCATACACATCATATTTATGTATTATATGTTATCAGCACAATCATGTAACAAATGCACAAATTTACCCCTCAGCCTTAGAACTTGAAAATTACTAGACTGCTTATATTACCCATGTATAATGCACCTGGCTTAGTAGATGATATTCTTAACCCCATTTTACAAGTGAAAAGACAAAGAAGATTCAGAGTTTGAATGCCCAAGACCACACATCTCTGATCCCCCTTCCCAAAGTTCCATAGGCAACTCAGACAGAATATACCCAGAGTGTTACTAATCTTCCTCTCCAAATCCTATTCTCAGTGGGGCTCCTCAGCCCCTCAAGTCCAAGCCTCACTCCTCCCATTCCTTACCAGCTACTTTATCCAAACCGAACCCAAGTCCTGCCTGGTGTAGTTCCCAAGGCTTGATCAAATCACATCTCTCCTCTCCCTGCCCATAGCACTGCCTGTGGGGCACCTTGCTGTGCCTCCTGGATTACTGCCTCTCCCCATTTCCATCATCGCACATGATGCTGCTCAAGTCTGCTTCCTAAATTGCCTCAGCTTCAAAAGGAGGCCCAAGGGCTGGGAAGGTGGCTCAGTGGTAGAGCGCTTGCCTTGCATGCATGAGGCCCAGGGTTCGATTCCTCAGCACCACATAAGCAAAAAGAAAAAAGCCGGAAGTGGCACTGTGGCTCAACTGGTAGAGCGCTAGCCTTGAGCTGAAGAGCTGAGGGACAGCGCCCAGGCCCAGAGTTCAGGCCCCACAACCAGACCCCCCAAACAAAAGAAAAGGAGGCCCAAGCCTAGCTTCCTCTGCCCCTGCCCTGTAATGTGGGTATCTTAGCCACACCCTTCACCCCCACTCTGTCCTACCTTTTCTGGGAAGCCATCCCTGGCCTTAGCCCTGAGACTGGCTATAAGTCCCCCTGTAAGCTCCACCGACTCCAAGCCTCCAACTCTCCCCCACTTCCTTTGTTACTAGACTGTACTCTTCCTCACAGGCAGAGAATCCATTATAACTTGTATAACTCCATTATACAAGCCCCAAGGGCCTGCACACAGTAGGTACACAGTGATTATGGAAAGGCTAAATGGATGAGTGAGAGCAGAAGAAGACTCCTCCAAACCAAGACAACTCCTGCCTGGCCCAGCCATCAAGGGGTTTTGGCTACCCCCATCCCCATTCCAGAGCCAGCTCCCCTTGAGCTGTGTGTGTGTGTGTGTGTGTGTGTGTGTGTGTGTGTGTGCACACACACACATTTCTTGTCTCTTCACTATTAGAAGGAATTGCCAAGATGGGAGCTGGTGGCTCATGCCTATAATCCTAGCTACTCAGAAGACTGCGATCTGATCTTGGAGGTTCAAAGACAACCTGGCAGGAAAAGTTGATGGAACTCTAAATCTCGAATTAGCTATTAAACAGAAAAGTGAGAAGTGTAGCTGTGGCTCACATAGTAGAGCACTAGTCGAGCAAAATAGCTAAGATAGCACCCAAGCCCAGAATTCAAAGCCCAGGACCAGCAGGAAAAAATATAAGGAATTTCCTCATTACATCCTCCTTCCCAATTTTGGAATTGACCCTTCACATGGGAGAGCTCCAGTGTTTGGAAAGAGGAACAAGATCCTGCCCCTTAGAGGTGTTCCATCCATACCTAGTATTCCCATGGGAATGAAAATGGATTCAGGAGACAGCAGTGAAAAAAGTCTTAATCTTTTATGTATAAAGCACAGATATAGTACACAAACAACATAGTATACAGGTAGTATTCATATGTATAATTAAGAAAAAAAGTTGTCAGGGGAAGAAGGTTGGAAATTTCTGCTCTAAATACATGGACCTTGCCTGCTCCTAAGAACCTCAAATTGTCTCCAAAACTGGCCCTTACCAGCTCTTGCTCAAACCACCACCACCCACTCCCCTATGCCTGAAAGCCATTCTGTGTGAACATTAATCAGAGGACCCTCTGAGTTTGCTCCCCCTCATTCTATGTTCTAACCTGCTAAGAAAGACCCAAAAGAATAACCCTGGAGCTCTTGGAAGAGCTCCAGAGGGAAGCCTGCCCCAGGAAGCCCTCAGGAAGTGAGGGTGCTGATGTGGGACAGGGCTTGCTTTATTGGAGTAGGGTTGGGATCACAAATAATCTCTACTTAGAAACGCTCTGTAATCCCGGAACTGCCCAAGGCCTGGGCAGGCTGGACTGAAGCAGGGCTCACAGACATGGGGGTAAGAGCAGACTTGGATGAGCTGCTCTTGGGCAATATGGTTATCTTGTGGTCTTCGTATGTCACAGAATTCTCCGTTTTCGGGGGTTCTTGTGAGCTGTTGCAGCCAATGAAGATCAAGTACAGGATGCCACCGAGGTAAGCACCCAGGGGCGGTGCCACCACTGGCACCCACCACCAGTTGTCCCCAGCACTGTAGGTGAAAAAAAAGAGGATGCCTCTGAGGGCCATGGTGCCCAGGTTGGCATTCCTGTCCATCTGAGGCCTAGATGGAGTGAGCAGAGAAGCTACCATTCCCCTCCATTTACCTCAGGGGATATCTGTTGTCCTGGCCAGCCTCAGCCCAATTTAAGGCTGAGTTGATAGTCCCACAGAAGCATGTGCATTTCCCCCAAGAAGCCTCAGAACCTCCTCCTGCCCCCCCGGACCACCTGCAGGCGCCATGGAACTCAGCATGCAGGGGACCCATAGAAAGTTTCAGAAATGGAGCCTAGCCAGGGCAGTACCTGAACACTTGTGTTCCCCAGCCGGCCATGAAAGTGAAGAAGCGGGGAGGCAGGTCCCGGGACGGGTTGATAGCATACCCTGTGTTCATGCCTAGGGACACCCCAATGATGCAAATGAGGGTGCCAATCACTAGGGCCTCTGTCCCTGAAAGGGCCGGATTGTTGTTCTTGTCCGTAATGGCGAAGAGACACAGCTGGAGCATCCCTGTGAGGAACACCTGGGGAGCAGATGCCATGGCAGCCGCAGAGGCCCTGGCCTGGTCACCGGGCCTCAGCAGGTCCCCAGGTCCAGATGTCTTGGCAGAGACACATCTGGGTACACGCCTCACCCAAATTGCTCACGTCCTCTTTGTCATGAGGGGATCTGGGAAGGGGAGCCCTCCCTGAACTACTCACCTCGTCCAGGAAGCCCCGCCACAATGTCATGTGGCCAGGAAGGTAGGTGGCAAAAATGCCCGCGGTCGCTTTGGGGCCGCTCACTGTCAGCAGCCCACCTGAGAAGTCTTGAATGGCCGCTGTGGAGATAAAGAGAGACCTACACCACTGGAGGCCCACATATTTTGTTTTCTTTTAAATTCAGGACCTGGCATCTGCTACACAGACCCTCTACCACTCAAACCACACTCCAAGTCTTTTTTTGCAGTAGTTATTTTTCAGATAAAGTCTTGAGCTTTTGCCCAAGCCAGTCTGGAACACCATGTCCCTACCTCTGCTTCTCTTACACTAAGATCACTGCTGTGCATCAACTTGCCTAGCTTATTGAGGTGGGAGTCTTGATGAGGTTTACCAGAGCTGCATCTTCAGCCATCATCTTTTTGATCTCCTCCTAAGTAGTTGATATTAGGGATGTTGAGTCTTTGTGATCAGATTCTCCAAGACATTTTTCTTTTACAGACTGGAGTACCAGGATCTCATCTGCTGGCCAGGCACCAGTGGGCCATGCCTTTAATCCTAGCTACTCCAGAGGCTGAGAGCTAGGCTCAAGGTTTAAAGTTATCCCAGGCAGAAAAATTCAAAGTTCTCCAATTAACCAGCAAAAAAGCCAGAAGTGGGTCTAAGGCTCAAGTGGCAGAGCACCAGTCTTGAGCAAAAAAAGCTAAAGGACAACACCCAGACTCCAAATTCAAGCCCTAGCCCTAGTATGCATGCACATGCATGCACACGTGAACCTGCGCATGTACACACACACACACACACACAATCTGATTTGTTCATATTTCGGAGGAGGAGGCTGAGATTGGAAGCAGAAAACTCACTGTAGAAGAGCATGTAGATGGTGGCAGAGGCCATGAAGGAGCCCAGGAACTGACCCAGCACATACACAGGGAACTTCTTCCAGGGCACACGGCCCAATGCACAGCTGGTGAAGGTCACAGCTGCATTCATGTGGGCCCCTGTTGTAGTGAGGGACAGGTTTTAATGGAGGAGCAAAAATAGAAATGAACAACAAAATAACATTGAGAGCAACAATACTAACAGCTAGTGTTTACGGAGTGCAGACTGTGTGACAAGTATACTCTTATTTAACCCCTTACAATGACTTTAGGGACCCACCTCGAGTTTAACCCCTCTACTCAAGAAAAGTGAGGGACAGAGGAGGCAAAAGTATTTTTTTAAGATGACCCAGCCAGTAGAAGTAGTGGGAGAGAGGGCCAGGGAGTGTCTGGGGAAGACACAGATAGAGACAAGGGGTTCTGAGGTATTCTCCCTCCTCATGGTCACCAGTGAGGCCCTGGCCGGGTCACAGAAGGGGCTATGTGGAAGTGGGCAGGAAACAATCTGTTCAGAAATACCTGACTGTGACCAGTCAGGTAAGGTCTGGGCTCACTCACCAGAGATGCTGCCTGCCATGTGCACTCCCATAGTGACTCCGAAGCCAAAACCCAAGTTGACACCAAGGTAGCTCCCTTGTTTTTGATTTGTTAGAACATTATGAGCCACAGAACCAAGGCCAAACACCTGCAAGGGAGGGCTTCTGAGGGTCTGCCTGCCCAGCAGCCACATCCTGAGAGAAGAGCTCACAGTCAATTCGCTTCCCACCGTTTCCATTCCATCTATCTCCCTGTTGCTGCCCTTAAAACCCTTCCACCACATCCTCATTCTCCAGAGCCTTCTCTTCCATGCCCTCAGGGAGGTCTTTCAAACCTGACCCAGTGAGAGCTGATGGTGAGTATAAAAAGACACAGGGGGCTGGGAAGGTGGCTCAGTGGTAGAGCGATTGCCTTGCATGCATGAGGCCCTGGGTTCGATTCCTCAGCACCACATAAGAAAAAAGCCGGAAGTGGCACTGGGGCTCAAGTGGTAGAGCGCTAGCCTTGAGCTGAAGAGCTGAGGGATAGTTCCCAGGCCCAGAGTTCTGGCCCCACGACAGGATCAAAAAAAAAAAAAGATTCACTGGTGGCTCACACCTCTAATCCTAGCTACTCAGGAGGCTGAGATCTGAGGATCGTGGTGCAAAGCCAGCCCGGGCAGGAAAGTCCATGAGACTCTTACCTGCAATAAAACACCAGAAAACTGGAAGTGGCACTGTGGATCAAGTGGTAGCACACTAGCCTTGAGCTGAAGAGCTTAGGGAGAGCAGCCCAGGCCCAGAGTTCAAGCCCTATGACTGACAAAAAGATTCAGGACCTAGTGTAGTGACTCATACTTGTAATTGTAGTTACTCAAGAGGCTGAGATTGAGAGGCTCAAAAGTTGAGCCCAGTATGAGCAAAAAGGAAGACCTCCCCATATCAGTGAATAGAGGTGGGTGTGGCAGAGTATACTTAACATCCCAGCTACACAGTAAGTGTAAAGTAGGAGGACTACAGTCCACACTGCCTGGACAAGAAAAGCAAGACTCTACCTGGAAAACAAACTGAAACATAAAATAGCTTGGGATATAGTGTAAGTAGTAGAGTACCTGTCTAGCAAGTGGGAGGCGCTGAGTTCAAACTCTAGTGCCATAAAAAAAAAAAAGAAAAAGATTCAGGTCTTTGGCATTTCCAGGCACCTTGGCCCTGGACCACTTGAAGTTTGAGTGGAGGTAGAGCTTTAAGAAGGGGGTTCCTGAGATAGAATGCACAACTTAGGGAATCTCAAACTACAAGCTAGGCTGAAGGAAATTCCTTTTTTTCTTTTTTCTTTTTGCCAGTCCTGAGGCTTGAACTCAGAGTCTGGGCACTGTCCCTGAGCTTCTTTTGCTCAAGGCTAGCACTCTACTACTTGAGCCATGGTGCCACTTCAGCTTTTTTCTGTTTATATGGTATTGAGGAATAGAACCCAGAGCTTCATGCATGCTTGGTAAACACTCTATCACTAAGACACATTCCCTACCCCTGAAGGAAATTTCTGATAGCACTTGTGTGTGTGTGTGTGTGTGTGTGTGTGTGTGTGTGTGTAGTACTTGCCAGTAACTGGAGAATTCAGGGCCTAGGTACTATCTCTTAGTTTTTTCTTTTTTTTAATTTTTATTTAATTTTTATTGTGAAAATACTGTACAGAGGGGTTACAATTACATGGGCAAGATAATGAGTACATTTCTTATCAAGCATTG